TACATCTTCTCCCTGAATCTCTTCCCCTCCCTGAGGCTTACTGCCATGTTCTGTAAATTGCTCCCAAACTTCAATGACCCCCTAACGGCATGAGTGGCTTTTCGCCTACTTGCTTATTGGCCTGAATTGTCGAAACGAGCATGGCCTCAGCACCCCTGCAGCATGTTTCATGCACGCGACGCTATTATCACAGTACCGTTGCAATCAAAAATGCTTGACCCACATCTGCACATTATGCAAGTGCTCTAACTTGAGCGAGGGTAGACGACCAGATTGATGAGGAACACGCCGCAGCGTTAGCACAAGCAATTACTGTTTACAGATTGCCGAAGCGTTCAAATCTGGTGCCAAGTTCGGAGACTACGAACTCACCTTTGTCAACTGATTCGGTTAGTACTGAATGAGAATACAAGCCAACGAGTAGAGCCAATTTCCAACAAATCATCTGCAAGGTACGGAAACCTTTAATAGAAGTAGTCCGACCGTCAAGAATCAACTCAAAACGGGTTTACTACGTACAGTCAAATGTCTAAATGAATTCCACCACACCTCTACTCGTTTGGATATCAAAAAATCTCACCTCACCGCCGCTCAACTGATCATAGCTCTAGAATGATAGCTACTATAGAAGGAGTCGGTAACGGCACCTCTGCCGCAGCACGTGCACCTATTCGAAAGTAGTATCAGAAAGCTGATATAGCGTTTAGAGCTGGCCATCGTACGTGCGATTAAGCGGGTAGGCGAGTAGGCGATCAGGAGAGTGGGCGATTGAACAGGAGGACTAGAGGCGTATTGATTGGTTTGTCCCGCCCACAGAGCGGTGTAGGCGAGTAGGCGACGACAACGCGGGGATATATCCCCCGCACCCATTACACTCATTTTTTTCGCGCACGCCTGATTCTTTTAGAAGTTTCTTGTATTTATTCCATGGAAGAGACCTTGACGTAGCTACAAACATAGTGGCCCATAGAATGGTCACGTATGCTTTAATTTAGAGGAGGATTTCTGAACCATACGAAATCTTCAGTTCAATAAATTTTTCGTTTACTTTTTCTTTTTATGAATGTGAAGATTTAAATAGTAGTAGAAGTAGATAAGGAACCTTAGGGATGACAATATGTGTGTTTTGATTGGAAATA